TGCCTTTTGAAAGAATTTATGTCATTATTGATTGATATGGCAGGCTATTGTATTAATATGGTGCCTTTTGAAGGAATTTATGTAATCATTGATTGATATGGCAGGCTATTGTATTAATTGCTTTAGAAAAAAAAAATCCCACCCAGTTTTAATACCTTCATGTGTAAATGGGTCTTGCTGACACGTAATCACCCACAAAACTGTGTCTGCTGGTTATTCTGTTCTTTCGGGTGGTATCTGGACTTTCTGAAACACATGTTTTCCCAAATTAATTCTGTTTTGGGTTTATCGGCTAGTGTGGTGGGCATAGAAAATCACACAAGCAAACTAAAGGAAATGGGACCAAAACTCCATATTTGGAAAAAACATGGGCACTAACCAGACTGCTGGGTGTACTCAAAAGGAAATGTATGTGCAGAGCTGCGGAGCTGACCTGAAGCTCTGTCGTGCTAAACTTCAACAGGCCATGAGATAGCTTCAGGGTGCACATTCATCTCATGGACTTTTTATTCAATTTATGTGATGGTACAGCTATAAAGGAACAAGGAAGATCATTAAGTAAGCAGGTACATGGACGGACTTTACCATAACCAAAGGCAAATCCGGTCCCTTTCTGAATGTGTACATTCAGGTTTTTCATTCCTCCATAATGTTTTCTCGTTTCCTGATTTTGTCTGAGACTGAAAATAGAAATTCCAAAACCCAGTGGGAAATGAAAGTCTTGACCCTTCTGTTTTAACCCAGGCAAAACTCTCCTGAAGGTGGGAGCTTTGCCTGAGCATTGTCAGGTCAGTGTCTTAAAATAAGAGCCTGCATTTTGATGTGTATCCCAACTCACACATAATTATTAGGACAGTCAGATTCAAATCCTGTCTCTTCTTTATGGTCTCAGCTTATTCTACGTAGATTTGGAAAACACAGAAGTCCAGGCTGTGGCTAGCACTGAAGCCAGTGGTGTTCACTGACATTTACACTGCCGTAACCGAGGGCAGAGTCTGGCCCACTCTGTGTTTCTCAGGAGGAACATCTTAGTTTCCATAGCCAGTCCCTGGTTGTTTTTAAGTATCACAAACAGGAAAATACAAAAACAGGACAACATCAGACAAATTCAGTGACCTTTTGCAGACACATTTCCAGGAGGGATGTTGCAGCTGTTTTTCAGAACAAAAGAAAATAACGACAACAAAAAGGTTAGGGGATCAGCTATGTAAATGAACACCAAGAAAGCATCTAATATATTATTCTGTAATACAAAAAGAAGAAATCTGACTCGATTGGCCTATTATAAATTTGCTAAAAATACAGATATATATTTATATTTTTATATATATATAATTTTTTTTTTCAAATCTGAACAGAAAAATAGACTACTCTGGAATGCATGAAAGTCACATGACTTTTCCATACATCAGATACTTATAAAGCCAACACAATGGCAAACAGGAGGTACAGAGGTAACTAGAACATCTGTACTTTATTCAAGAACTATTTAAAGCCATATTCTCCCCAAGTAGGTGATCCTAAACAACCTAAGGTAACACTTGTTCAGTCTGATTACCATAAGCAGAAGTGACTGACCAAACATCGTGAAGTTGGAGCTAATTTGGAGTCTCCGGGGAAGCCCACCTCCCCATCTGGCTCCCGCCTGAGCTGCACAGGAGGGCATTGGTGCCACACGGTCTCCATCGCTCGGCTACTTTATTCAGTAATTCTACTGTTTGCTTGAAAATGAGGTGTCGAAAACTATTGGAGATCATGTTATGTGGAGCTTACCGACAGAAAGAGAACTTGGCTTTAGAAACCTTGTCTTTGCGATGAGTTTTAAATACCCTTATTATTTACTATAAACTGTACCAGTCATAATTCTGTCAAGACATAAATATACAATAGGTACAAATATTAACAATACATTACAATTTTACAGAAGAGAATACTGTTTTCCTTAGAAATGTGTATCTTATTAGCTGCAAGGGAAGAAAAGGCTACAGTTTATCACAGCCATAGTTGCCAAAGAAACCGACCGCCTCGGATGTGTTTCTGCGTGACTTGCACAGACAGATATTCCCCGGCACTTGACACACGGCATGTTCGGGAAGGGAATGTGCGTTCCGCGGGTTTTCTTTTCCTCTTTTTTTTTTTTTTTCCTTCTTCTACCTTTATTGACTCTTGAACCTTTCAGAAAAACGTGGATTTCACAGGAGACTGTTTTGTTTCTTTTTTTTTTTTTTCCATAAGTGTGCTTAGGTGAAGGTTCTAAGAAAAGGCACTGAGAAATCTACTGCAATGTGACTGCTGTTTTCTTCTGTTCAAGGCTAAAACTCAAAGTGATCTTTGCCTCCTGGTTAAGAAACCTGCACCCATTCCTTCCGCATATATATATATATTCTATATATATATATTTATATATATGTATTAAAAATTATGTTGATGGCATAAGATACAAGCAAGCGCAGACATCACACGTACATAGTCCTTTCAGATATGATGTCTTCTGCAGCAGCAGGTAAAACTCCGTCAGCTTGCTTGATACATGATGCACAGTAAATTCGCAGACCTGAATGCCAAATATCAGTGATTAAACTGCACGCTTTAGCTTGATGCAAGAGATATTGCATATTTTCACCAACTGCTATGAGCTTTGGGAAACATGTATTAAAAAAACTATAAAATGAAATTGTCTTTCTAATGTCTATAGGATTTGGTGAGCATTGTATTTTCAAAGCACTGCCTTTCCCTTTGTAATGAGTACAGATTTAGTCTACCATAGCTGTATGTGAGAGTAGATTTCCCAGTGCTTACATTATATATATGTGTATTATGCACACACACACATATATAGATACATACTTCATATTCAGACTTTATTTCATTAAAATAAATTAAACATACTTCCTTTTTAACTGGGCACAAAATGAGAGCTACATCGTCATACACAAATAAGAAAGAAATGCTCTTCAAGCATATTATATGCTTAATTTTAAATTATTTGCTTTCTATAAGAAATCTATAGGACTTTGGCTATTCAGACTTAAAAGGTAGATTTTTAATGATACTTTTGAATTTGGCTTTCAAAAGTGACTCAATAAAATGCTACTTTAACGGTAGGACTAAATAGATGATATAAAGTGTGTGTCGTGAGTGATCACACAAGGCAGACAGAGGGCCTTTGGTTACAAGGAGAGTTGCACCAGTTGATTATCAGTTAAAAAAATGATAGAATTGTTGATCTATACATTTTCGTCAGTGCCATCTATAAACCAAATACATCAATTTGGATGAGAGTGTGGTAAATACTACACTATATGGCTATATTTAAATACGCTCACTTTCGTGATATGTAAAATATGACTTTTTTTTCCACATGAAAGCATCAGCTCTAAAAATATTTAACTTGGAAATCACTATTACTTACTTTATCAAAAAAATTTTCCCTGATTTTTTTCTTCTTTTTACATTTGTGCTGATGGCAGACATGAATGATCACTGAAACATAGAGATTATGTTAAGACTGTTCTCTTTAAGATTTCTTGTTGCCGCTCTATGGCCTTGGGAAGCCACAGAATAAATCAGTATTTAAAGCTTATTTGCTGGAAAGTCACTTTACTTTTTCGTGACGGCTCAATCTTAACTAGTATCTCAGCAATACGTCGGTTCCTCTAAGTACACTTGTATTTACTATGGCCAAATCCTAAAGTCCTTCACCAGGCAAAGAGCCCACTCAGAGGAATGGTGGCTTTGGCTGAGCGAAGGCAGAGTAAAAGCTAACGACCCTCAGGAATTGGCCCTGCGTAAATACTCTGGGGAGTATCGTTTGCAGGCGTCGCTGCCTTGAACTTACGTCGGGTACCTCCCGCCTCCCTCTCTGCGTGGCACGCGGGCTCTCTCGCGGCCGGCGGGCTAATTCGTGAGGTGGTGGCTCAGGTTTTACTCGCGCCTTCCCCAGGGTCTGGCCTTGCTGGGACGCAAGGGTGACGTCTGAGCGGGGACCCCCACCGCCCGGGGACAGGCTCGGCTGAGCAGAGCAGAGCGAACTCCAACGTGCGTACAGTTTTGTGCCAAGGAGAGACCTAACAAAGCTATCATCGTAACCCATAATAGTTCCTAAAACATATATGTGCTTATTGCTTTTGTCCGTACATGCTGCATTCACTATTACGGATTACAGACAGAAGTACTGTACAGCTTGGACGGACAGACATTTACATTCAGGACTAACCAACGGCTTTTTTTTTTTTTTTTGTACATTAGGAAGGAACAAAACGCAGCGGATTGGAGCGGCTCGGGGTCCTCCTCCCGCCTGTGCCTCCGCTCCCGCATCCCGGCTCCCAGCACGTCCCCGGACCTGCCGCACGCAGCTCCTTACACGCCCCGGCAGGTACTCAGAAATAGGTCAGGAAACGCTCATCGACAGAGTTATTTACAGTTGAGTTTTACAGTAGAAACAGAGAACAACATAAAAGGTTACCATCACAGTTATCACAGGACAGGTTGTGACTTGCTACGGGTGTGTAACAAATCACGGTCACGACAGGAGGCACAAATTAAAATAGTGCTTGGTTAAAGTGCTTGATTGTTACACTCTGCTATCCTACTCCAGCATCACAACAACAACAACAAAAAGTCAACGTAAAGTGCTTTTCCCCCCCGAGATTAAAAACCAAAGACAAATTATTTCCTACACAATTTGACATAACTTTATTGAAACAATAATATTTTAAAAACCTAGGCTGGTGGCTGCTAGTTCTCTTCATTTAAAATGGTCAGATCTTTTTTTTTTTTTTCTTTTTCTTTTTCTTTTCTTTTCTTTTTTTTTCTCGTTTCATTTAAAAATGACTGGATGTTATTAAAACATCGGGCCTGATTCTCCTGTCTCTCGCCGCAGCTCTGCGGGAGCCGCTCCTGCCCGACCTCCTGGCGAGAGAGAGCACAGCCAGGCCCGGGGCGGGGCGCCAACGAATCCCTCTTTTTTTTTTTTTTTTTTTTTTTTTTTTTTTTTTTTTTTTGCATATTTATGTTAACGCTTGCATATCTTTCACCGCGCCGCTCGGGCGCAAAAAGCTTCAGACCGACCGGTTCCTCTCCTACGCCAAGGGCGAGACTTTGGCTGGCGCCTGGAGTCAGCGTGCGGGCAGGAAGGGGAGGCCCAAGGAGCCATCCCGGTAGCCCCGGCACGTGCCACGGGGGCCAGCTGCAGCGTCCAGTACCGTGGCCGTGCTCGGCCGTCCCCATGGGGCAGGGCAGCGAGCATCTCCCTTCCACGGAGGGGTAGGGGCGAGAGCCGAGCTCTCCTTCCAGCCCTACGCTCCCCGGCACCGGGAAGGGGGTCTGGCTGCGATGCCTCTGGAGATTCCTGCTTCTGCATGGCTCCTTCACACCTTCCCAACGTGGGTCCCCCTGAGGGCCGCGCGCTGGCCCTGGGGCAGGTATCGATTTTGAAGCAGAGGGTAAGTGCAAGTTTCACTATGTCCTAGGGGGATGTTTTGGAATTAGATACAAGTGGTGCAACTCACCCTGCTGATATTTCAAAAGAAAATGTCAGGTCCTACAGGATATCGTATTGTTAAACACACACAGAGCATTTTAATAATTGGTTACTCTAGACCGTTATTTGTTTTAAATGGTTTTCACTTGGATTTTCCAATAATGCAAGTGTTCCCTGTTACCTTTAGACATAATATCCATCAGAGAAAGCTGTAGATGGGGAACAGCTGCCCTGAAGCAGTGAGCATTGTGTTTTTGATAGCTTTATACCAACCCCAGCAATTTATTCCAGAGTTCAAATCTGGCTGCCTTGGCATCCTTTATGGAACTAATGCAAATCAGATGTTAATATTTCCAAAAGGAGCTCTAGCGTTCAAGGGGAATGGATGGATATTTGGTCACATTGGCTTCACTGGACAACATGAAAGGAGATCAATGTGTGATCATGATTTGCAATCCTTATTTTTAACTGATGTGGGCAACGTCTTTAGAGTTGTTTCAGAGAAGGACATTTTCACAAACCCACACTGGACCTCCCCCAGACTTTTAGAAACAGGTGGCTTGTTTCAGCCAAGTTCATGCCATGCAGAAGCTCTTTTTTTTGTGTTGACTGTAAAGACATTCCTTTAAACTTTCAGTAAGTTCTTTTGGAGCCCATCTCAGATGCTTTGATCATGTGTGTTAGCATGTCCTCCGCTGCCTGGTAATACATGGACTTCTGGGGAAATGTGATTTTCTAGTCTGACAGTCTCCTGATTGCCGTGGGTTCTTCCAGTGATACCTTCCATAGAGTAAATGCAGTTTTGCCCTATCAGCTTAGGGGAGGTGGGTAAAGCAGCAGCTTCTAGATGGTTCTTCTCTGTTCTATAAACATTGTCCTTTTGCTTTAGATAGCCACTGTTTGTGACATTGTACTTGGGACTCACATTTCCGGGTGGACTTGAATCATAAAGCAGCTGACCTTCATCATCAGTGTCAGCGTCTATGTATTTGTGTATACCAGCATCATGGAAGTTGAAAGCTATGGCTGTCTGCGTCTCCGGTGACTTTGGAGGTGTTCTCGCACTCGCCGTTGTGTAGATCGAGGTTTCTGGGCTCATGAGAGATCTGTCAGAGAGTAAGGAAGTATCTGTGGCAGCAGCAGCAGCTCCCCGGCTCTTGAGAGGGTCTGGATATATTCTCAGTACATTTGATGCTGGTACTAATGTGCTGGTGTCCTCCTCCATGAAGTTGACTTTCAGAGATCTCAGTTTTAAAGGGTTACTGGCCTTTATGGAGCTTTTGGGACTTTCTATGAAAAAAGCAGAACGGTGACTGCCTTCGGAGCTCGGGTTCGTTTCCACAAATCTGGCAGAGCTCCCCTCTGGCCTGCTCTGCTCCTGGATCACGTTAATGCCACCTTTGCAGGGAAGGGTAGCGAGCGGGCTGTGGGAAAACCTCCCGGAGTCAGGGAACTCCGCCGCACAACTTATGAAGCTGTCAATGCTGGACATGCTCCTCATGTCAATGATCCCATCAGTACGAGTCGTCAGCAAGGGCACCATAGGGCCGGGAAGGGTTTCCATTTCTAGCTCTTCCTTTTGCTTTCCAGGTTGACTCGACTCTTTAGTATTAAGGTTTGGCTGGGACTGAGTCTTTGCCATTTTGTTATACATGTCCTCTAGCTGTTGGACATTTAGGTGCTGGGGACTTGAAGATGACCTAGCTTTTTCTGGAGATCCTTGTTCCTTAGTTTCAAAAGATTTACTAGAGCTAGTTTCAGAGAGTGTTCTCTTGGTCCATTTCCATTTGCTGGGAGATAAATGATTGTCCTGAACTTTATCCTTTTTGGCTATACTTTCTCCATTCTTTTCAACCACAATGTCCATGAGTTCTATACTACGAGCAAACGCATCCTTCATGTTCATGGAGACAATACTGCCATTCCTTTTTGCTCTTTCAAGAGCTTCCCTGCGCTTAATGGCTTTCTCCTGCCTCTTCTGCTCTTTGTAGAACTCAGAGAAGTTATTGACAATAATTGGGATGGGAAGAGCAATCACCAGCACTCCAGCAATGCAGCACAGTCCTCCTACTATTTTACCTAAAAGTGTTTTGGGGTAGATGTCTCCATAGCCTACTGTTGTCATGGTGATTGTTGCCCACCAGAAAGAAGCTGGGATGCTCTTGAATTTTGTATCATCCTCGTCCTTTTCTGCAAAAAACACTAAACTGGAAAAGATCATAATGCCCATGGCCAAAAACAAGATGAGTAATCCAAGCTCATTGTAACTCCTCCTCAGTGTAAACCCCAAGGACTGTAAACCCGTTGAGTGTCGGGCAAGCTTTAGAATCCGGAGGATCCTCATAATCCGAAATATTTGGACCACTCGTCGTACATTTTGGAACTGAAGTACACTTTTATTGGATTCTGTGAGGAAGATGGTGACATAGTACGGTAAGATAGCTAGTAAATCAATAGCATTCAGTGGGCCTTTGAAAAACTTCCATTTCTTAGGCGAGGATAGGAACCGCAAGAGGTATTCCATTGTAAACCATGCAATGCACACCGCTTCCACGTGGGCAAGTTGGGGATTATCTGTGGTCTGCCCAAATTCATCCACGCCTTGTAGCTCAGGAAGTGTGTTAAGGGACAAGGCAATTGTAGATAGTACGATAAACATGATGGAAATGATTGCCAAAATCTGGAAAGGAAAGAGAAAACAGTGAGTTCATCTCAGAATATATTACACTATCATTGCCATTAACACATGGCTATTATTTCCACTTACACATTTCAAGACTAATTTTGCTCTTAGTACACAGAATTCAGATAACCAATGCATGTTGAGGTGATTTTATTTTGTTATGTCAGGTGCATAAAGGGGATAAAGCATCTACTTCAACTCCCGTGCCTTCCTCTATGTGTAGTCAAGGAACGTGTACCAAGCAGCTAGGATGCCAGGAGGGCTGTGAAGCAGTTCACAGCAGGAGCTTTTGATTAGCTACTAATTAGGTGCCCAACAAAGCCCATCTGGACAACAGGCTCTGAAATCTAAGCAAGAAGGAATGCAATTGTGAATACAAGATTCAATCAGAGCAATGTCCTCCATTTAATGCACAGTTACATCTGTAATTTTCGGTGCCTATGGCTAATTACAGAGACGTGTGTACAATTCTACTACATATAAGCGTACAAGTAATACATTCTTTTTTAATGACTCATCCCTAATTTGAAACTTGATGGTTGTGAAATACTTGAAAACCCTGCCAAGCTTGCTAAAACATTTTGAGCTCTGAGCTACCCCGCATGCGACCGACTGGCCATCCTAGCTCCTCATCACAACCAGGGGAAAGAGCAAACTCATCCAGCCAAACCAAACCTCACAACACTGAGCCAGTCAAGACGGGGCAGGTCCAAGCACCAGAGAGCTCATCCATCATCAGAAACCAGCTCTCAGGCTGAAGAGTGCAATGAGAGGAGAAGGGTCTACAGTGAGCAATCTCTCTAAAAACCCACATAAATCTGATCAGATTTATGTCCTGTCACTGGCCCGCTGACTCTATGCAGAACCAGAAAGTGTGAAATGCTAGATTAGTTTATTTGCAGCTTTCAGACAGTGTACACAGGCTGTCCTTCCATACCTGTTTTATATAGATATTAATGCTATACTTTCCTGTTTTTCCCTAATTACTTCTTCTCTTAAAGTTATTTTAGGGAGGTTTCAGAGCTGAGAGACAATTCGAGGAGTACATTTTTCTACTAGTGAATTCTTTCTCTAGTTTGTTAATTGGGTGGGATTATATCTAGCTTAGGTTACTGCCAAAATACAGCAATGATTTCAAAACACACGTATATGTGACTAATGTTTTATGTATTAATTTCACTGTAAGCTGGTCCCTTATGCTCGTTTTTCTCCTGCTTGATAGAAAAGCAGCATGAAATCAATTGCAACGTATGTGCATGATGACTAGATGCACAATATTAAGCCATGAATTATAAACCATATGACAAGAGTTCTGCATCATGGATTGCAAATCAGACACTCCTTCCTTGCCCGTATAACTAGATTTTAGGCTTTCTCACAGTGACCTTTCTCAGCCAGCGTCACGATACCAGGATATCCACAGTAACCACCTGGGGTACTGGAGAAAGAAATTCTTGCAGGATTTCTTTTCAGCCAAGCCCAGCACAGAAATCCTAACAGTCAGGAAATATCAGATTTCTGAACATTTATCCCTAAATGGACAATTACTACAGTGGAACAAGCCTTCCTGCTGTAGGAGAAACGTGCAGATCCAATATGGTTCAGAAACACTGTGTTCTTCTCAAGAAGAGCCTCACCTCTTCTCCAAAGCCGAAAGGCAGAAATGGTCTACAAAGGCTGGAAGCTTCACTGGAATTAAATTCATGTAGCAAGCTTAAGCTATGGCTTTTGGAGAAAAGCCCATATACCTTCAAAGAAATCCTAATTTAAGGCAAGGGTTTCAATTTAGAAATTTTGATTTCAACAAGTGTTTTAAAATCCACTTCCTGTTAAGAAAATTCCTTACGAATCAATGTAATAAAATCATTTACCTTTTAACTCACTAAAATGTACTATATAACTTTGATTTGTACATGACACTGCAGACCTAGTAATTTAATCTGAAGAATGAGATTTGACTAGAAACAAAAATTAGCTCCATTAAACACTCTGGTTTCATTGTCTAAATTAGATTAAGTGGAAGAAGTGAATGGTGTAAATAGCCTCCTGTGCAATGCTCTAGTACCGGGAATTTTAGAATAGCCTCACTTTCGGTTATTAAACTGTTGCCAGGAAAAATGCTGGAAAGATTCCTTTTCCATTTTAAACAGGTTGCCTAAGAGAATGTTTGTTGTTAGCTGTGCTGTGCACCCTCATGGTGCCAGCGAACCTTTCACCTCCTCCTCGCTACCTTCCTCTTCCATAAATTTGCTGCTGAAATACAAACAACCCCACAACAACCTGTGCAATGGGGGATTTGCCTTGTGGAGAGACTTCTCAGGTCAATGAGCTAAGAAGCTGTGGGAAAGACTTGGGGGGTGCCTACTTTTTTGTAGGCAGAATCCTGGGATGAAGAGAAGCAGAGGGACTCGGGGAAAAGTGCTTGACCTGATGGCTTCAAACTCAAGAGAATAAAATGTAAGTCAAGTCGTGAAGAGGGGAGAAATGTAGATGTTAAGTACTTCTGCATGGTTGGTTGTTTCAAAAGACCATCTCCTGGAGACCAGGTAATACCCCTGAGAAGCAGGGAGATGGATCTGCTTTCCTAGAAGGCTATTTTAGTGTTTTTGTTGTTGTTTCTTTGTTTACAACCCAACATTTCTAGAGGTGTTTGGGATGTTTTCAATGGTAATTTCAAAATTTTTGCTTGGATTTATCTCTGCCCACTATACACAGAAGGGCTTATTTGTAGACTTAGATGTACCTGGTGTGTTTTATCTCCTTCATTTTCAGTGTAAATATTAACGCTCCATCTTTATTCAGTGGATGGCATCCAGCAGCAGTAATTGGTGTCAAACCTTCTGTTTCCTTTGATATACCTTACTGCTTTGAAGATCAAGGCAATGCCCGATGAACATAAATTTGAAAACTAGGAGATCTGAGGGTAAAATTTGTTTTTTGGTTTAGCAGATTTAGCCATGGAGCTAAGCAATAAACAGCGAGAGACATTTATCATTCCTCCGCATGCTGCAGCAAGATGTCACCTGTGCTCCTAAGATACATATTTTTCCCCCTTATTGATGTACTGCAATCATACATCTTTGGGAATCTTGTCAGGCTAAGAAAAACTTCTAGATGTGAGTTGACTGTCCTTAAGTATTCAAAGCACTTTTCAGTGGGAAAGTACAAAAAACCAGGAGATGAAATATCTCCAGCTAGGTTTAGGTAATTCTTATTCTCTAAAGCATTCCTTGTCCTGGTAGCATCCACCATCCACCAAAAACCACCCAAGGAGCAGTTGTCCACAGAAAACATGATCCAGCTGCTGCTGTCAGGCATTATCACTGCATTCAGTGACACAGGGCTCCATCCCAATGTACTGACAGTCTGGGATTTCAGATTACAGAAATCGCCGTCCGTCTGTCTGGTAAGCTTTCCTATCTTGGCCATACTGAATCTCTAGCTTGGCAGCTTTTGTATTTTCCACTGTCAGTAATGAGACAGAAAGCTGAAGGAAAGACATTTTTACCACCAAGAATGGCTCTAGAGAAGCTCTGTGTGGCAGGCAGCCTTTTCATTGCATTTCTCCCCTTTCCTCCTTCCTTTACTCTTCCAGGTTCCCTTCTGTTTAGCAAGAAAAACCAATGGGACAAATTTGAACTTGAGCAGGAGCAATCCCTCTGCAGTGAACAAGGTTCCAGCTGCTTAGGGACCCCTCACTGGATAAAAGTGCCCATTCTCCCTGCTCAGGAGCACTGACCCAAAACCTCGCTGCCAAGCCAGCGGCTAACTGCTGCTTGGGATGGAAGCAAGTGTGGGGAGAGGGCCTCCTCCTGTGGTACCAGCTTTCATAATTCAGTAAAAAATGGGCAACATAGCCTTGTGCTGGCAAAAAGTTTTGGGCTGGCAGTCAAAGAGCTGAAGTTGAACAGACTCGAGCACAGAAAGGTCCCCAGAGCACAGGCTTGCGGAAGGAATAGAAATGGGAAAGTTAAGCGTCAGGGGCCTGTTAGATTTTGTGAATACTGCTGAAATGTGCATATTGCTAGATACGGAGACAGCTGCACCCCCTCCTAGGTCTTGCTGCTGGCTTATCTGGTGTATATCTGGTGCCACGTCCATGAGAGCTGTTCTCAATTGTCCTCACATGCGGTGTGTCAGAGCTAGTGACAGGAGCCTTAACAGACCAGGTCTTGCTGGTCAGGTACCCACAACTGAGCATCACAGACAACCCTTAAACTGCTCATAAAGCTGAAAGGGTTTAAGAATAGTTTCTCCATGCACAGCTTTCAGACCATAGCATGAGAGAAGCGGGGTAGTTCCCTTTCTCTTTGTTTCTGTATTTACTTTTAGATTTCACCTGTAGGAACAGACCATAAATTGTGAAATTCCCCATCAGGTACTTTTCTAGATGTCTTGCAGTGGGTATTGGATGGGCTCCTAATGACAGCACTGGCTTGTACTGCAAGTCTCAGTATGTACGGGCAGGATTCCAGAAAAAACTTCTCCTCCACTAAATCGACTCTTTCAGATAGATTTTTATTGAGTGAATCTCTGGACTGCTGCTATGGTTCCTTTGTGAAAGCTAAATAACCCAAGGACAGGCAGGGCAAGGTTTTGAATGAATTTAAAGCAGTTGCCTTGAAGTGATTAGCATGATTGTACATACATGGTGGTTATTACACATGCAAATGAGACAGGCAAGCTGATTATGTGAGTAAGTGTAGCCAGTTTGTGTGCAACTGCTGCTTCCTGAGGCAGGATGGATGTGCCATGCTTGCAAGCCGTTAATCCCTACCTTCTCCAAAATTCACCCCCAAAACTAGGCAGGCAATGTCCACCACACACCTTTCAGGAGATTCTACCTGCACTGGGACCGATCCCGCTCGTCGGGGGAGAGTGGGCCCAGGGATTCTTCCTTTGTGTTGGCAAGGTCCCTGCTCATCCCTGGGGGAAAGAGGGCTCCCACAAAGAAGCCAGTCTGTTCAGAAATTTCCTCTCTCTCTCTCGAGCTTCTG